AAAAAAATAAAAATAAAAAATAAATAAATAAAATAAAAAAAGAATAGTGACAAGTCTTGCAATGGTTCTAAGCCAGGATGACCCCAGTATTTTTGTGTAAAGGGTTATTTTGACTGTTGTCTTGAGACTGGGCTAGGGAGGAGCATGAGTGGAGGCAGTAAAGTCTGTTCAGAGGCCATTGTAATAAAGCAGATCAAAGATGATGGCGATCTCAACGAGGGTGGTGGCAATGGCTAGAACTGTATGTATTTGAAAGTTATCAAAGAGGAGGGATCTCAGAACTTGGTGAGAGACGGAGCAATGACAAGTTAGATAGTCTAGGAAAGAAAGAGGGAGGCATTCTCAACCAGCTCCCTGAAAGGTGATGCAATGTACTAAAACAGAAACCCCAGAAGGAGGAGTAAGAGAGGCAAGCCTCAGAATTCAGTTTGGGATCTGTTGAGTTTGACATGCCCAAGAGAGCTCCAGGATGGAAATATAGATACAGGATTTATCAACATGTCGATCAGATAATCTTCACCTGGTAATAATGGAGGGAAGGGTTCTATGGATCCCTTTGGGTAACAGAGAATCTCTGAATCCCCTAAAATGTTTTCAAATGTTTAAGCTTATTTTGCATGTGCTTATTATTTCAGGGTGGGGGAAGATTATGGAAGTTTGCTTTAGAATACAAGTTTGCTATAACTCAAAGGCATTAAGGACCACAGAGGAAATTGAAGGGACAACCTGTATTAAGAGTGTCCAAAGTGGGCACCTGGGTGGCTCAGTTGGTTTTGCGTCTGTTTTGGCTCAGGTCATGATCCCAGGGTCCTGGGATCAAGCCCCACATTGGGCTCCCTGCTCAGCGGGGAGTCTGCTTCTCCCTCTCCCTCTGCCCCCACCCACAGCTTGTGTTCTCTCTCTCTCTTTCACTCACTCTCTCTCTCTCTCAAATAAATAAATAAAATCTTAAAAAAAACAACAAAAAAAAGAGTGTCCAAAGAGAGTCACTTAGGCTGACAGTGCTGGGCCAGGACCCCAAGAAGAGAACATAAAGAGAACACAAAAAGAGGGTTCTGAAAATGAGCTTGACAATCCAGCAAGGACAAAGTGTCAGGGGAAAAGGAGTGGTCCACAGATTCAAATACCGCTGGGAGGTCAAATAAGGCAAAGAAAAGTATCCATTGGATTTTCAACAAAGAGGTCATGGATGATCTTGGCAAAAGAGGCCATGGTTGGTGAGAAAGAGAAAGTGAGTGGGAGGTAAAAAATGGAAAATTCAGGTATAGGAAACTCAAGAAGGGAGAGGAGAGTGTTAAAGAGGTAGCTGAAAAAGAAGACCAGGGTACAAGGTGGGTAGTTCTTCCCTTAGGATGGGAGAGATTTATGCAATGAGTCAACATTTTAAAAGCTTAAAGAGCCTTTAAGTACCAGCCAACCAACCCAAATACACAGAAGCATTTAAGGAAATCAGAAGATCAAGCTCAAGGTGTCTACAGTGAGCAGGATAGATAACAGGGAAGAGTGAATTGAGTTGAGCCTTGAATGATTAGCTTTTGAACAGGTGAGGATGAGCCATTAATGAGAAGAAATCTGAGAGAAATAAGACTAAGCAGTCACCTATTTTTCTTTCACCTTCTCTTGTTATTCAAAGAATATTCTCTCAGCAAATATAAAGTCTTTAAAATGGAAATGGCCTGTAACTCAGAAAGTGACTACAAGTATGAAAGTATTAACAGTTAAAAGATATTTAATCCAGGGCGCCTGGGTGGCTCAGTCGGTTAAGCGACTGCCTTCTGCTCAGGTCATGATCCCGGAGTCCCAGGATCGAGTCCTGCATCGGGCTCCCTGCTCGGCAGGGAGTCTGCTTCTCCCTCTGACCCTCCCCCCTCTCATGTGCTCTCTCTCATTCTCTCTCTCTCTCAAATAAATAAATAAATTTTTTTTTTTAAAAAGTTGCTAAAGTAGGGGGGCCTGGGTGGCTCAGTCATTAAGCGTCTGCCTTCGGCTCAGGTCATGATCCTGGAGTCCCGGGATCGAGTCCCACATCGGGCTCCCTGCTCGGCAGGGAGTCTGCTTCTCCCTCTGACCCTCCCCCCTCTCATGTGCTCTCTCTCTCTCTCTCATTCTCTCTGTCTCAAATAAATAAATAAAATCTTTAAAAAAAAGATATTTGATCCAATTTACAATTATTACTTATATTCTTGGTCTTCCCATATGACACAAGCATACTCTTTGGGGTCATATTGTGCATTTCCTCACTTGGAATTTTTAACACCAGATAGGGTGCTAAGTCAGTATAGGCTGTTGCTTCTGTCACCTAGGTTTCTAACATCTTCCACATATAAAAACACACCCATAAATAAAGGTGCTAATGTTGGAACGGGAAAGATCCTTTCATAAGCAACTTAACACAAGTGACTCCCTGCATAGAAGAAACTCTTATAAGATCTAGCTCATAATTAAACACTATTTCACTTAACTGAATTATTTTTCTCTTATCTTTTTAGAAGACTGTACACGTTAATTTTAAAGGTTCTGTCTATGTATCTAAATTGAATAGGTATTGTTTAAATAGTAGCCTTTCAGCTTATTACAATTTATAACTATACGGAGGGCAGAGTATAGCTACAAGTATTGCAAATTGTAGCAGACCCCTGATGAAGGAGAAGTGTGATCTTATCCAGGGAGGTTTGTGGGGGGCTGGGGAGTGGGCATTAATTTAGGGGCTACACCTTTTAGTTAGAAGAGAGCCCAGTAATAGTCTCAGTAATGGTCTTGGACATTCCTTCACTTCCTTGCCGTAAGTATGGGTCTGTGTTCCAAACAGATCATCCGTGTACAAGACAGAAACTTGGATGTCACTATACAGACATTATAGAAACCAACATCAGTTTTTTTTTTTTACAAGATTTTATTTATTTATTTGACAGAGAGAGACACAGCGAGAGAGGGAACACAAGCAGGGGGAGTGGGAGAGGGAGAAGCAGGCTTCCCGCAGAGCAGGGAGCCCGATGCAGGGCTTGATCCCAGGACCCTGGAATCATGACCTGAGCTGAAGGCAGACGCTTAACAACTGAGCCACCCAGGCGCCCCCCAACATCAGTTCTTAAAGAATCTTATTTTCCTACCTAAGAAAGACTACTGTTACTTTTTCCAATTCATGACATCCCCCACAAAGGAAAGCAAATGTAAAACACTACAAACTTTCCTTGTCTTTATGAAATTTGGCTTTCTATATTTTTGTCCTAGTTCTGGAAGAGGCCAGACCAGTTTAAAAATGCACACACATCTACACACACACACACACACAGGTCTGACAGGTCTTGATCCTTTATCCACCGTCTCGGGTGTCCTAGTTCTCCCCTTTGTGTGGACACATCGCTTCCTGCATACACTGTTCTGGCCTCTGGTCATGGTCATCCTGTCAACCTAGGTTTTACTTTCCCAGAGGATGCAGCCTGTGGGCTTGGGATGTTACAATTTATAACCTGCTACCTCAACAAATATCCAGTGGGCCTTTGCAATTTTACTGTGCAAGACTTTGGATAGGGGAATGTATTTTTGTGGAAATTGCATATTCTATTGTTGCCTCTCATATATCACAGCTCTCTGCACAAGAACCAAAGGCAAGGCATTTGCTAATGACCTCAAACCCCTGCCACCTATAGTCTTTTTTATTTTCTAGGCTTCTAAGCATCTTTTATCTGAGTCATTGGGACCATTTCTGAACGACCTCTGTAATTACCTTATTTGCCATGACTAGGAAATCTAAGGACTACTCAGATTGATTAGAGGCCTTGGTGGGAAAAACTTTTGATCTGGGGTAATGTCATTTTAGAGCCCAGAATGTGGGCACTATGATTATGATCTCTGTGGGTCTATAAAATAAGCCTGAATAGCAAATCATCTTCATGGTTATCTTTCCTTTTAAACAAGTAAGAATTGTCTTTCTGGTTTAAGGAAAAACAGAAGATAACATTGCTCTTCAAACCCAGACGAAATTGTCATAGATTTGCTAATATTGCAAGAAAACTGCTCGCTGGTGGCAATATTTTGGACACCTGTTGGGAAACCCTTGATTTTGTAGCACATTTGTCTTACGGGAACTTCAGGCCCCCACTGAACATAATGACTGGTATTAGGATTCCTCAAAGTGTGGTATGAGACAGACCGTATCCTAACCCCACCCCTTCCCCCTTGTTGAAAAGATTCTGAGGGTAGGGCCTACAGATCTACATTTTGCCCAGAGCCTCTATAGAGTGCAAGCACTGCAGGGTGTAGGAGCTACCACCCCAGGAGATAGATGCGTAAAGCCTCCGTGATCGCTAAGACCAACTTGACTTACAATGAACTCTTGTCTCTCCTCTGCTTAGGTGCAAATGTAATCTCCACGCCACTGTGTGTGTGTATGACAACAGCAAATTGACCTGTGAATGTGAGCACAACACTACAGGTCCAGACTGTGGGAAATGCAAGAAGAATTATCAGGGCCGACCTTGGAGTCCAGGCTCGTATCTCCCCATCCCTAAAGGCACTGCAAATACCTGTGAGTAACTTTGCTCTCTAACACTGTATTCTGTGCAAGATGAGCTGATAGTTCCTCTCAATTTCACTTGCAATTGTGCTTTTACTCTTATGGTTATCCTATTCCTCTTCAAAATGCAGCTAAAGCTTTAGTTTCTATTTCACCACTTGTAAGCACATTTTCACACTCAGATCATCTGTTAAATTCAGTCTTCCAACATTCACATCAAATGTGTTGGGAAATGATGGAAATCAGGAGAAATTTTTTTCTAAGTGGATGAAACAAGAGATATTTGTTTTCCTCCCCCAAATTAATTTCCTATTAAAATAACAACAGCCTTCAAAACTCCCAACAGGAACTTAATTTTAGCCATAAGCAACTCGGGAAATTCTCTAAATGTTTCTAATCCCATTTCCCCTACTGGATAACTTGAGGGAAGCTTTGTCCAGAAAATGCTTCCCTGTCTGATTTTGACTATGGCCTAACTTTGCCCGGTGAAATAATTGGCTTTTTCCAAATGCCAGCAGCTGAGGTCATGCCTGGCATGGATCCTGTCAGTAGAAGCCACCTTCCGATACGGAGCATGACTGCAGGCCTGCAGGTACTACAGTAAGAAAAGGAATGTCCAAGTTCAGGTGAAAAGAACACAGGCCTTATCAGTGCTTCCAGGAACCATGAGAGATGCCCCATTACCATTCATGTGTGCCCCACTAAAATCCCTGAAGATCCAGAGGAAAACATGCTCTGACATGCTCAGGGAGAGACATGGTTATTTCCACAATAAACTGCCCAATTCCATGGATGGACCCATTAGCCACTTGCAAAACCCTAGGTTTGCCCTCTTTCAAAAGTAGAGGAGGGGTGAAGTTGAGAATATACCCATGAAGTGAAAAGTAACAGAAATAGCGGGATAGTGAGCAGCAGGAGAATGAGGGCTCGAAAAGCCACTGGCTCTGTGCAAGGCTAAGAATGTTATCAGGTTCTTCAAAGCAGCAGCTGTGAGAAGACAAAACCTAAAAACTAATATCACAGGATCCAGGACCTTATCAAGTTAAATGTAAGAGTAATGGAGCGAGTAACAAGCCATGAAGTATGGGGGCATGAAATTATGATAAAATTTCTATGAAGCAGAAAAAAATATTCTTCAAAAGATTAAAAAAAATCCCTATTTGCAAGGGTATTCAGTTTCTTTCTGTGTTAAAGAAAAAAATGGACAGTCTAGCTCCTAAAATTAATACATAAAGCTCTGTTGAGCAGAAATGTTGATTTTTCAAGGCGATTTTATTAACAGAGACTCTTTTGGCTGTCCTCAATTGTTCAGGCCCATAGACTCATGAATTCAGTAGGAATCATGAGGTTATTTGTTGGTGAACCCCTCTGGCTGGCTACCAAGAATCCCTATCACCACACTTGTCATATTTACTTTAAAGGTTTCCCTAAGTGAAAGTGGCTCCAATTTCATTTTCAGTGTCTGCTGCTTCTTTAGTGGGACAGGACAGAACCGAGGAAGGTTCACAAACACTTGCTAGCATTCTGGCTCAACCTCCAGGCCGGCCAACTTGTCGAGGCGACCAGAAAGCCAGGTGGGCTGAACTGCGGCTTCATTGGCTTCCAGTCTCACACGACTGTTCTTCTACCCATAACTGAGCTTCAAAGTCTTATCTACTTCAAGGCATTTTCACTGGGGACTCCTTCTTGCGCCAGCCAAGCTTTTTCACTGCAATGGATATTTTTGTTATATTCTCCGTGGAGATGATGTACCCCGAATCTTTTGCATATTGCAGAAGATCACCAATTACTCCCTGGCCAAAGGAATGCAACCTCTTGCAATTTTCTTTGTGGACTCCGTTGCCCAACTATCCCTTAGTTATTACTCGCCTTCTCTAGACTTTTTCCCATTTTTTTTTTTTTAGATTTTATTTATTTATTTGACAGAGAGAGACACAGCGAGAGAGGGAACACAAGCAGGAGGAGTGGGAGAGGGAGAAGCAGGCTCCCCGCTGAGCAGGGAGCCCAATGCGGGCCTCGATCCCAGGACCCTGATCATGACCTGAGCCAAAAGCAGACGCTTAACGACTGAGCCACCCAGGCACCCCCCCTTTTTTTAAAAATAAAATACGAAGGTGACAGAGGGATACAATGCCCAAGGAGGCTCAATTCAATGTTTCAGTCTTCAATATGGCAGAAATTAGATAAAGATTTTAGAGATGACTGCAGTGGTTCAGTCTTGCAATGGAAAAGCCTTACAATGGTAAGAACCCCCTAAACTAAATTTCTGAAACATCAGATTGTGCTTTAAAATGTCTAAGGATGGAAATAAGCAATTCAGTGGTTTAGTACACAGCTTACAGGATCAAATACAGTTTATCTATTCACTATCTGTGTGACCTTGAAAAAGTAAACTAACCTCTCCAACACTCAGTTTCCCATCTGTAATGTGAGAATAATAGCAGTTCTTACCTCACAGGGATTTTAAGAGAATTGAGTAGGCTACTGCATGTAATGTGTTCAGCATAACACCTGTCACAAAATAAGTGTTCAAAAATAATTTTAATTTTAGGATTTTTTTTCATAAGGCATGCTTGTTCATTATTGGACAGTTTTAATTGTTATAAAACCTATTTCTTAGTAGTTCACCTGTTTCTTGAGTATCTCGTAATTTCCAAAGAGTTTTTTCTCTTTAAGTAGTAAAAGAGCTATATTGACCCCAATTTCTTTTCTTCTCCAGATTAACATCATCAAATTCCATTTTTATATAATAAGATTTTCATGTCTTTTACTGGGTTGCTTGCCCTTGAAGTCCTCTAATTTTTTAGTGTGGAGATGTCAGCCAAGCATGGGACTTATGGCACTGACTCTCATTTCATATCAGCTTTTTCTTACACATATGCATACATGCTTGTGTGCACACATATGCACACACACACAACTCTAGGTGGTGCATCATGAGTCATTTAAGAAGAACGCTTAGGATACGCCATATCCTAATACAAAACCCAAGAAGTATAAAAAGAGTGGCTACAATCTCTGAACCCTCAACATCAACTCCTAAATGGCCTAGAAACGCCATGCATCCTGGGTAATCTCTTGATTTAGCAGAATCTCAACAGCCAGGATCATTTTTTAATAGGAAGGTCAGTTCCTGCCCGCTCTTACCAGAAGAACTCAGAGAACTTCATTAAACCAGGAACTTAAAAGATCTCCCTTCACAGACAGTTAACCCACCACTCAGAGGTACCCTAAACCAAGACTTTGCCAGGAATCTAGGACTTTGGAAGTCCTGAATTCTGGAGCATCTTCAAGGCCACTTTTGTGAGGAGTGTATAGAGCCAGGAGAGAAGAATACAGAGCCCTAGCATTCTAAAGTAGAGCCGTCCCTATACTCTGTGAGACACATCACATGTCCCTATGCTTTTCAATACAATGACTTGTCAAAGGCAGAAGTAATAACTTTTGTGATTATATCTTTATACACCATGCTTTTCCTTGGAGACCCAGTGTGTTTTCTTGGCCTTTTAAAGCCATATGTATATATATATACATATGAAAAAATGTTTTCCTTATTTTTCTACAAAGCTTATGCTTTCTCTGTAAGACATCTTTCTTCTCCCTGTTGATCTTCATTCTATTTCTGATAGTATTCTCAGTGTCCTTTGAATTTCATTTCTGCCTTCCAAGTAGATAGCAACTCTGTCCAACTTCATGCTTCATTATGATTCACTTGATTGCTATTGTCCAGCTCATGAATAAAAGTATTAAGTAACACCTCTTTAAATTTCTGATCCTTATGGAATAACACACAATATTTTTCTACATATAGATGCTGAAAACTCAACAATCAACCTTTAGGAACTATAACTTTAAGAAAGATACTATAATATTATCTATACCTCTGCTTCCAAAGGTGTGTTCTATGACCTTTTAAAGAATTCAATGGCAAATAAGTTTGGAAAATGCTATAGACTATAAAGACTCTAAGACATTTGGGGCACCTGGGTGGCTCAGTCATTAAGCGTCTGCCTTCGGCTCAGGTCATGATCCCAGGACCCTGGGATTGAGCCCCACATCGGGCTCCTTGCTCCGCGGGAAGCCTGCTTCTCCCTCTCCCACTCCCCCTACTTATGTTCCCTCTCTCGCTGTATCTCTCTCTCTGTCAAATAAATAAATAAAATTTTTAAAAAAAGACTCGAAGACATTCATATTACCTTATTAAAAACATCTGAGAATCCTATAGTAAAGTAACCTATTTTACCCTGTGTTTCCCAAACATAACTGATCATGGAACACTTAATAACTTTCTATAAAACACTGTTTTGGGGACCTTTTGCTCTAAACAATTTCTATAGCATAGTGATAGAAATGTCATGAAGACAGACAGAAAGCCCATTCAGTTCTGCTGTGTTCAATCTTTCACTTTCTTCTTACCTACACAGACTAATATTCTTCAAAGAGAGAAAATTAAATTGGTCTGACATTGACATTATTTGTTCAGAAATCCAACTTGAATTGTTACACAATATCTAGAGCTCCTCTGAGTAATGGAAAGTAATTTGATGATCGTTCTATTATTTTCTCTAGTATTAAATTCACATTGACCAATTTATATTTTCCCAGGTGTGCACATGTGTGTGTCATTATCCAGACAATTTCCTAAGTGCTTTACATGCATTAGTTCATTCTTAACTCACAACACTCTTATAAGATAGATGCTATTAGTTTCATTTTATAGATGTGGAATCTGCCAACTGCTGAGCGCAAGTATCTTGTTTAAGGTTTCCACGACTAGTCAGGGTGAGAAGGAGGATTTGAACCAACGTATGTCTTGACTCCAAGGACTGCACATTGCACTATATTGCTTCTCAGGTTAAAGTTCAGTGACTTCCTCTGTTCTCCACTGGGGTATGAACTTTTTGACACCTGCTTAAACAAGCCAGTTTTATCTAAACCTGATCTCTCCTACTTCTCTTCCTAGATTTCTGCTTGTTATTTCTTTGCCTTCAAAGTCTCCCCGTCTGCCCTTG